AATTTAAAGGAAAAAAAAAAAAAAAAGTCTCCAGGATGGTACATAGGATTGGCAGGTAAGTATCGGAAGAGAAGGTCAAGTTCAGAGATGCTCTCTATTCTGCAGGGAGGCTTGAGCGAGAGCCCTAGCTACCTACAGGGTTCCAGAAACAGGTGGGGGAGTAAGGGGTGGGATGAGGATACAGAGGTCATGAGAGGTTTAGAAGAAATTGTGTCGAGAGTCAAATTCTTGTCCCCCTTCCCAACTTTGCATACCCAAAGACTTCTTGATTTCTTACAACGGTCAGACAAAAGGAACTTAGGGGATTGACAAATATTTTTAAAAAGTCAAAGAAAAAGCAAACTATTGTAATGATTACCCCTGGCTTCCTGGATTCAATAGCTGCATTCTCTGTCACAGCCAGGTTACTGGTCCAGCTGCTTTCCTGCCAGAAGCTGGCTGTTTACATGGCAACCAATGTCTTGATGAATTGAGAAAAATGATTTAGTGTATACACGAATGCAGCACCTTCTAACTCCAGGCAGTTTCTCTCTTCCCAACGTTCTCCTCCCCATGCTTTCTTGGTTCCCATAATATCTCCTCCAAAGAGCAAACTGGACTTCAGAATGCAGCTATTCTTTCTGAGGAAAACTTCACTGGAGAAAGCTGGTTCTCTCCATTGGAGGAAAAAGGGGTTCCCTCCTGCCCTCAAAAAGCCCATTTCATTTCTCCTGGAAGTTAGCTACATCTCTAGCTGTGCTTAAATGATGACTTCCAAATGTCTTTAAAGAGTCCAGAGTAAAAAACAGAACTGGGGATCTGGTGACCATTAAAGTTCCCAAACTTTTCCATAAAAACAGAGATTTTTGGAGATATTATTTGGCCATAATTTTTGTTCTACGGTTTCAGTCCCAGTATCTGTTATTTAGCTAACAGTGGGAACTTATGACCAGATAAGGAAAAAAAACAAAAACAAAAAACCTTTGATGGCCACTCTCAACAAAAGTGTTTGAGGGCAGAGTAAGCACAGGTCTCCCACAAGGCAAGCCATAGAAGAGGCTGTGGAGCCTAGTAACAAATATTTGTTGTGCACCTATTTTGTGCCACAAACTGCTAAACACAGGGGAAACAATAATGAACAAGACAGACACAATCTCTGCCTGCCATGTCAACACAGCAGGAAGCCATTTATAACACAGACCAGAATGGAGGTGAATGAAAATCAGGGTTTGGGAACTAGAAATCTGTTCAAACATTTCCAATATTTTTAAAATAAAAGATGTATAAATGTATAACTAATTTGAGATCTGTAGAGTTCAGTATTACCTTGGAATTAGGAAGCTAATTTCAAATTTAAAGTGAGATCACTTATTTTTAAGGTTACTATTTGTCCTGTAAATAGGCAACAATTGGCAAGGCAAAACATCCTGACCAATTTTATTGCCCAGATTCCCAATACTCAGCATCATAATTCTTAAGTTCTCAAGAAAAGATGGTTTTCAGACATTGTCCAACTCTAATATAGTAACAATACACTTCAGAGCTAAGAGCTATATATTTCCATATAAGCTTTTTAAAAAGTCACATCCCTCAATTAGTACACATTACTTAAGCCTTTGAGATCACCCTCTAGCCCAGTGCTGTCCAAGGGAACTTTCTATGATGATGAAAATGTTCTATCTTTACACTGTCCACTACAGTAGCCACTACCCACATGTGATTATTGAGCAACTGAAATGTGGCTTATGAGGCTGAAGAACTGACTTTATTATTTTACTTAATTTGAATTAATTTAAATTTAGATAGTCACATGTAGATAGAAGATAGTGCAAATTTAGTCTTAAACCAGAGGTAGTTCTGTGAGTGTCAGGGAGAAAAAAAGTTCCCTTCCTTTGGATTAAGTCATTTTAATTTGAGAAATTATTTAAAAATTGAAAGTCAGAAAAATTTTTACATTAACAGGACTGTGAGTTAGAGCAAACTAAAGATTAGTACCTGATTTAAACAAAACTGCAGTTTCCTTCACTGATCCTACTGAACTAAAACAAAAACAAAAAAACAAAAATGTGTATGTGTTTGAAATACGTGTGATTTCTTTTAAAAATTCAGTGCTTATTATTAAAGGAAAATAATCCAAGGTATATACACTTAATCAACATTTTAAAAGTATTTTAAAATATCTTCTGTTTTGATGATTGTTCATTCATTTATTTAATGCCTACAATGTACTTTGGTTATAAAGTTTAATATTCTCTTAATAAACACAGCGAAAATATCCCCCAAATAGCCATATTTAACCTGATGCATTTGAAGTGATTTAATTTTTAGCTACTTCATGTATAATTGCTTCATTTTGAGTTAAGAAATATTACAACCAAAAGGTCACTCATTTTTCAGATTTGACTGCAAAACCAAAGTTCAAATATGTCACTGCTTTAAAATGCATAGCACATACCTCCAGAAAATGAAAAGTAAAACATTAACATATCTTTCTAACAGGTAACTAATACATATTATGAGTACCTAAAATGACATGCATGAATTTTTTGCAGAAGAAATTTTTAATTAAATTTCTTATCCTGAATTAAAATGTAACCTAAGACTTCCTAAGAAGTCATTAAAAGAAAATCTGTCCTGCTTAGTTATACAGAAAAATGATTTTAAATATGTATACGAAAATCATCTTTGAATGTTTGGAGTTTGGGAAGGTGAATCCCAAATAATCTTTCAATAAACTTTTACTATATGCCCACTATGTGTCAGGCACTGTGCTTGACCCCAAAAAGTGGCATCCTCTCTGTAACAAGTCCAGGTAGCATGTCAACTTGTACATTGAGGGAAACATTATCAGTTGTCCCACAGCCATATCTGGATCAACTAATGGACACTGCTAAAGTCATATATAGATTACCGAAACCTTCCTTTCTCTGACTTCCATACATACGTAAGCACAAACGACAATATTTTATACCATATTTCCATTCCCGCTGCTGTACTGACACTACCATATTTTGCTTTGGGTTAGCTAGATCATATATGTGTAGATATACAGTGTATACTATACACCAACAAAACCAGTTATAAGGTAATTGAATAAAAAACTTTCTGAAGTATTTACTGGTCATTCTGATTGAGTCTTGTTCTAAAAGTTACAATCAAGTAAGATCCTGACATCATGCTAAATAACAACGTTTTTAAACAATAAAAAGTTTGTATACAAGGTATGAACCCAATTTTTAATGTAATATACACACTTTCAAAGAAAGAAAATGGTAAGAATTTCACCCAAATCTGAGTGGTAAGATTGCACGTAATTTTCATTTTCTTTATACATTTCCATATTTTCCGACCTTTCTACAATGACCATACCTTACATTTATAATCAGTAAAAATTACATGTATGTTAGTTACAGTAGAAAACATTCTTGCAACTGTCCCAAACCCCCAGTCTTGTATTGGCTGGGATAAGACCTTACATAGGGAAGTAAATGTTGATTCCAGGCGTGACCTTAGAGAACTGCTGCAGAAGGCCCAGGGGTTGACCCAACTGGCTAAAAACTGGAAGCTGTTTAAGACGGTACAGAGACTTTCACTGTCTAAAGTTAAATGTAAGTGAATATTCCTGGAGAAAAAGGAAAATAGTAACATGTGTGTCCAGCTCTAAGGCCTGGTTAGGTCACAGGATAAATGCAGTATTGCCTTCTGGTGACTTTTGACTCCATACAACATTTATGTTTAAACATTTAATAATGAACATTTAAAGAACTATTACTAAACACCGGATAGTTTTGAAAGGTAAAATTTTTTTTCTAATTATAAAAATAGTATAGTATTCTTTATGGAAAACCTGGAAAGTATGGAAAATCTGGGGAATAAGACCAAAATAATCTATAATTCCATCACCCAGAGATACCAAGTGTGAGCATTTCAGTATATAACTTTCTAATAATTTATGTGTATCCTGCTTTTTCACTTAACATTTTATCCAGAGCATTTTCTTATGTCCTTAAATATGCTTAGTTGGGGCCGGCCTGTGGCTAACTCGGGAGAGTGCAGTGCTCATAACACCAAGGCCACGGGTTCGGATCCCATATAGGGATGGCTGGTTTGCTCGCTGGGTGAGCATGGTGCTGACAACACCAAGTCAAGGGTTAAGATCCCCTTACCGGTCATCTTTTAAATAAATGAATGAATGAATGAATAAATAAATAAATAAATATGCTTAGTAAACCTCATTCTAATGACTGCCTAATATTACTGATGATTTAAGGATATCTTCTTTTTGGGTAAACAATATTATTTTATCTACCATGGACGTAATTTATCATAAGAACAGATTCAAAATGTATCTAGTATTTGAAAGAACTAGCTAAGAGATTTTCTCAATTAGTGATCTCTCCTGTGTCTAACCAACGTTAGGATTTTGATTCTAAAAATGATTTTGTTCTGTTCAAATCCCTAAGGTCACCCATATTGCACACAACGATAAATCACTCACATGTTTTCCAAAATACAGACTTAGGATTGGAAAACCACAACTCCCTAAGAAATATTAGATAGTAAAGCACTTAGTAAATCTCTGTTCTTCGCACATGTAAGCCATGGCAGGCCCTCCAATCCAGGCTCTGCCCGCTGTAGCAACACAAGTGAATTACAGTGAGCTTAAAGGAAACACTAAAGTAAAACAGAGAAAAAATTATCCTTAGCATAAACTTCGAATTGTGAATAAATTCATTTGTTTACCTTTCAAACTAATTAAAGAAAGATACTGTGATTTTTTTTTCTGAGAAAGTTATAATTCAGAAGCTCCATAAACAATTATATTATAGGCTGGTCCCCCAAAATATCAGTATAGCACATACTTGCTGAACAAGAGTTCTGAAAATTATTCTACTCAGCATACTGATCATGATTCCTTTGAAGAACACGAGCAGAAAATTCTATGTAAAAATTTGCAATTTCAGTTTAAAAGGAAACTCCATTTCCAATTATCTTTGGTGGTTCGAAGATCCATTCCTTACCTGTAAGGCAGTTTAGGATCAGAAAGACCTTCCAAAATGCGAACACCATTGTGTTGAGTTTCGTTGAGAGCAGCAGGTGCCAGTAGCTTGCCTGGACTAGGCTGAGTCTCAAACTGGCTTCTTCAATCACACCGAAGTTTGCCAGGCTTATCTACTGGGCATCACCAAGCAAACATGACTCTTCGGGCTTACTTATTGGGTACAGACCATTCTTAGAGCAGATTTGTGTTTCTTTGAAACACTTTTCATGGGGCGTGTTTCCTTGATATATTTGCTACTGTGTTAATAATAAACCCGCCTATTTAAATTCTTCAAGCTCTTTGTACACAGATTCTCTAAGTCTCATTGTTTAAAATCAATCTTATTAAAAAGTTGTACTTGTAGGGGGGGGCGGTATAGTTGGAAGAGAGCCTATGCAAATAAAAGCTGACAAGGCTAGTAAATTTCAAACATTTCCATGAAAGTTTTACAGCATTGATTCACTAACCTCCTTTTACAAATTAGTTACTAAATTGGTGCTATAAGGTTTCCTGGGGAGATGGGGTTCACAGGAAGGGCACAGGGGTTATGAAGCGAAAAAGCGTTCATTTCCATGCGAACAAACTCTGGACGTGTCACTCTTTTTTGAAGCTCTGGCAGGTGTTACTACCCTTCGCCAAAACTGGCAGAAGAATGAATTACATGCTCACGTCTCTAGGGTTAGAAACCTTATAGCACTTATTCACTAACCTAATTTTGCAAAATCAGGTTAGTGAATAAATGCTTTAAGACTTCCATTGGATGAGTCTGAATTTTTGCAGAATTAAGTTACTGAATAGGTGTTATAGGGTTTCCTTGGAAAAGGGAGTTCACTAAGAGGGCAGGGGAGGCTGCACAGGTAAAAAGCCTTCATGTGAACATGAACTTCTAATAAAGTTCCTCTCATGCTTACGTTATCCTGAGAAACCTAAGGCCTCCTTTGCCTCTTCCCATGCGATCTCTTAAGTCCTGTTGTTTCAATCTTCACAGTGACTCTCTGACTTGTTCCTTCTCCAATCTGCTGCTTCTATCTTGGTCCAGATAACTCAGCTCCTCGCCCCTGGCCTACTACAGAAGCTTCCTAAATGGTTTCCCTGACTTCTTTCTCCTTCATCCTATGTACCAGCCACAGGCCAATGTTCCAATTCTAATCAAGCATTTTCAGTAACACCATATGTGAACTCTTTTATCAAGTCCAAAGTCCTTAAACTGGATTCCCAGCCTTCTAAGATCTGGTCCTCACTTCATCTGAACTTTAGCCATGTTAAATCATCCATCTGAAAAATGCTGTCAAGATTTACTGCCTCAAAGTATTCAGACACATGAAATACACACAAGTTTAGGTGATATGTTTTATGAACTTTACAGGAAATACTTGACCCCATCTTACCTTAGCAAAGCTAATTTCCTGCTGCTTCTTAGAAAGCTATTTTGCTTCCATCGGGCCTGATTCCTCCTTGCAGCCTTCCTCACCCATGCTCATGTCTAATGCCAAATCTTGGTTCCAAGTGACTTCCATCACTACTTAGAACTTTCCCCTCACTCCTCTTGTTATCCAACCACATTCTTAGCACAGATCAATCATGCTTCCTATGTGAGGATTCCAATGAACCCACATACCACTCCTCTCCTGGCTCCCTTTACCATAAATTCATATTGTATTTAGAGCCAATACCCTACAGTTGGCACTTGATTGTTCTCTAGTAGTTTCCTATTTATTAACTAAGTCTCCCCCAAATCTAGTGACTGTGAGCCCCTCCGGGGCTGGGACCAGGTCTTATACAGGCAGTGCCCAATTTATGAAAGGGTGTGTCCAAAAAATGTACTGGTAAGCTCACTGATTGGCCCAAGAATACATACGCCTACAGAAGCAACGTTATAATGGAAGTCTCATTCCCAGACTTACGTAGCCTTCCACATAAGTAGAAGGTATATAGTCTAATACTGGCTTGGATTCTGGGAGCTGGGCCATATAGGGAAGGGGAGGAGGAGATGGAGCAGCAGGTGGCAGAGAAAGAATGTTCCTTTCCTTTCCCAAGACGGGTTGTGCACAAAACAACGTTTTTTTCCCAAATAACCATTGCATGTCTCGGACACTCACCTTCCTTTCTGTCCCCCACCCTCATAGTTCCCAGGCTCCTTGTATCCCTGGGTTACCCTAAGGGAGAGTCTTACTCCCCAGAATATCCCATGCACCAAAATTACTTTTTTCTTTCCATCTCTAGTCCTCCCAGAAACACTCCCCCTCCTCTGCAAAAGCAGATATCAGCTCCGCGTTAGGAGGGAAAGAAATCAATTTTCATGAACATTCCCTAACCCGTTTGCCCTATTGAAAATAGATTGCTGGTTTTCTCCATATGAATCTCTGATCAGGAGGATGAAGAAATGCAATAAAGAGAAATGGTATGAGGGAGGAGGTTTGCAGGGGAGGACAACTTGTAGCATAGCCCTCTGGAGCTCCACATCAGCTCTCAGCCTTGGTTCTGCCTTGACCTCTAAGTCCACCAAGTCTCCAAAAGACCCATGGTTTTCACAATGGCTCCCCTGGAAGTAATACTGGCATTTCCAGTGGTGGGGAGGTGGGATGGGGAAAGAAATCTGTAAGTCTAGTGTTTGTAAACCAGGGACTTCCTGTGTTTTCTTCCATGCCCCATAGGCAACCATAGTAGGGTGACCATATAATTGATCATTAAAACTAAGACACTTTTAGGGCCGGCCTGTGGCTCACTTGGGAGAGTGTGGTGCTGATAACACCAAGGCCGTGGGTTCAGATCCCTATATAGGGATGGCCGGTTAGCTCACTTGGGAGAGTGTGGTGCTGACAACACCAAGTCAAGGGTTAAGATCCCCTTACTGGTCATCTTTAAAAAAAAAAAAAAAAACTAAGACACTTTTAGGGCCGGCCTGTGGCTCACTTGGGAGAGTGTGGTGCTGACAACACCAAGTCAAGGGTTAAGATCCCCTTACTGGTCATCTTTAAAAAAAAAAAAAAAAACTAAGACACTTTTAGGGCCGGCCTGTGGCTCACTTGGGAGAGTGTGGTGCTGACAACACCAAGTCAAGGGTTAAGATCCCCTTACTGGTCATCTTTAAAAAAAAAAAAAAAAAAAACTAAGACACTTTTGAGAGTGAAAAGAGCACTATTAGTAATTACATGGGACAAACAGCATAAACTGTGACAGTCCCAGACAAACCTGGATGTCTGGCCACCTACCCACAGGGGAGTGCTAGACACAAAGTAGGTGCTAAGTAAGCACTTGATAATTAATTCAATATGTCTGAGCTGGGTGGCCCTAAGATGGGTAGGGTGCAGGGTATGATTTAAGGGCATCGCCAAAATCTATCTGCACCAGAGGTTTTCATATGAGCACAAAAACTTTGGAGGATTTAATTAAAATACGTATACTGTCGTTATGTGAGATCTAACTGGGACAAGAAGAATTCTGTTAAAACAAACTCAAGGAGATAATATAAATTCTCTGCTTGGAACTGAATTTTGATGTTATTGACTATTGCTCGAAAGAAGTGGGCAATTAACCAGCACATAAAATATTAAATATCCTTTGCATTTTTATGGCACTTTATAATTTTTAAGCTGCTTTTCCATTTTATCTTTGCAACTGACAGAAAAAATAAATAGAGCAGGTATTATCTAAATTTTCCACATAAGAAAACTGAGTCAGAAACATTGCATCTTTCCCAAGGCCACAAAGTACGCATTAGAAGCTGTTCCCATCACATCGCACAGTGGCACAGAGTGACTGTAATGTAACAAATATGCTACTGCCCCCAGGATTCTCCCTTGGGAACTTTCAGAAATACGTAGTTCCTGATTTATCCCTCATTTTTTTTTTACTTAAAAATTATAAAAGTAACACACTTTGACTGTAAAAAGATTTCGAAGAACAAAGAAGTATACAGAGGAAAAAAGTCCCCATTCAGCCACCCGCACATGTAATCCCATGCCCAAGCTCATAGGCAACACGAGTTTAGCATTTTTCTCAGACCTTTTTCTATGCATTTACACACACACACGGTTGTTGTGCTTTTTTTTAGCATAAAGGTGATCATACTGTACATATTGTTTCATAGTTTGCTTTTTTTCTCTTAAAAAACATTTTTATTATCTCTTTCTATCACTATATCCAATGACATCTGTAGATCTACCTTATCCATTTTAGGGCTGTATGGTATTTCATAGTATGGATATACTGTAATTATTTAATCATTCTCCCATTGGTGAGTTATTAGATCATTTCCAGTTTTTCACTATTAGGAACATCTTTTGTCTAAATCTCTGCCCACTTCTGTGATTATTTCTGTAAATTAGGCCCTTAGAAATGAAACTGCAGGATCAAAGGGTATGGACATTTAAATTTTTTGGTAGACTGCAAAGTTGTCCATCAGAAATTCTTTACAAATCTACACCTCCATTAGAAGTATATGAGAGTTCCTGCTTCTCCACAGCCTCATCAGCAATGAAAATTATTAGTCTTTTACTCTTACTAGTATCATGGGTGAAAACTGGTATTGCTTCGTTGTTTTAATTCATATTTCTCTAATGAGGTTGAACCTCTTTTCACAGATTTACTGGCCTAACTCGTATGCCTTTCCTTGTGAATTGCCTGTTTATGACCTTAGCCAATTTTTCCATTAGGTTATCTTTCTTTTAATGTTAGAGAAGTACTCATATATAGTCATGTGTCACTTGACGGGAATATGTTCTGGAAAGTGCATACTTGGGCAATTTCATTGTTGTGTGAGCATCGTAGAGTGTACTCACACAAACCTGGATGGTAAAGCCTGCTGCACACCTAGGCTATATGGTACAACCTATGGCTTCTAGGCTACAAACCTATACAGCATGTTTCTGTGCTGAATATCTTAGGCAATTGTAACACATTTGGTAAGTATTTGTGTATCTAAACATATCTAAGCACAGAAAAGGCACAGTAAAAATATGGTATTATAATCTCATGGGACCACCATAGTATAATGCAGTCCATCATTGACTGAAATGTCATTTACAGTGCATGACTGTATTGTGAATCTTATTCTGGGTTTAGTATCTATGTTATAAATATTTTCTCCTGATCCATAGCTTTTCTTTTTAATTTTATGTCTTTCATCATA